AACACGAGACACTTTGCCTATTAAAAATGTCTGCAAAATTGCAGGAGGGTTTAGACAAGGGACTGTCGCATTAATACTGGGCTGGATGGTCACCCTAGAGATCGCTGTTCCCGGCCAATGGGAGCTGCGACAGCACAGTTGTGCAGCCTTCTCCATCACACAATACCAGGTCAATCTCATGAGAGGTCCCTGAACATCTCCCCTGTATTCAGCAGGTGCAGCTGGAAAGTGGGATTCAAACCCCCACCAGCGTAGCAACACGGGACTCGGAAAAACTGTTCCCTGTGAAGAGCTCCGATCACCCCGAATTGAGTCTGAGTCACACTCTGGGACACGCAGAGGAGTGTGACTCTGTTTCCCACCACACACCGCTCCCTGCCTAGGGCTCTGCTCTGTTTATACTCTGCGAGTGAAACCCGCATGCAAATCCCTGCCCCGGAACTGTCTGGTTAAATACCAGCCCCTGGGGCTGGGGGCCTCCCCTGCCCGCTGGGGAGTTCCGCTCATTGCATGAAAACGAGAATGACGTTTCTGTGGCTTTTCCTTTCACTGTTCTCGGCTCCCAACCGTGAGTGTTTTAGAGAGAATTGGGGACAGGGACAGAGATTCAGTGACTGGCTAATTTGTTCCCTGTTTTATTTCCCTTTTCCCAGGTGTCCTCTCCCAGGTGCAGCTGGTCCAGTCCGGCCCGGGGGCAGTGAAGCCCGGAGAGACCCTCACCCTGAGCTGCGCTGTCTCCGGGTTCTCCATCTCTACTCAATATTACCCCTGGAACTGGATTCGGCAGCCCCCCGGGAAAGGGCTGGAGTGGATGGGGCATGTGCATCCATATGATAGGAGCGCACGCTACGCCCGGTCTCTCCTAGGCCGAGTCACTATCTCTGGAGACACCGCCAAGAACCAGGTCTCGCTGGAGATCCGCTCGCTGACAGCTGCAGATACCGCCACCTATTACTGCGCCGGAGACACAGTGACACAGCGCGCTGCTGGCCCGGCACAAAAAGGGGAAGCGGTTTCTAAGCAGGACGATCTCACGGGCCTTACACTGAGCTGGCCCCTCCCGAAGCAATTGTCACACTGTGCGAGAGACACAGTGACACGAACCCTGCGGCTGCCCGTACACACACCAGAGCTGCAGAACTTCCCGCATCTGCCGCACGGGGGCAGCAGAGACACGCGCAGAACAGCCCTGCCCTGGGCGCGCTGAGCGAAGGCCAGGCAGGATACAACACTCTGATGTTGAGGATTACAGCTCGGGGAACGGGGCGGACTCCTTGGGATCCCACCGTGCGAACTGGGGTGAGGTGGCTGGGTTGAGGCTTGGGAGTCAGACGCAGGGATTGGCTCCTGGATCTGTGTGACGTAGGGGTGGTACCTTGCTGGTTGCTATGCTGGGCAGTGGGTTGTGAGTGACCTCCACTGGCTGCTGGCTGCAGCACCGCCCAGCAGGACAGAGGTTAGTCATTATGAAAGAGGGCTTCAAAACTCGTCAGACAGGTATCTCCCAGAGAGCGGAACAATGGGAAGAAGGGGAGTGGAGCTCTGGCTGGGGACAGGGCTGAAAGTGAGTTAAGCAAGGGAAAAGAAGCTGGGGAGGGGGGCTGGGACTCCCCCATCTCAAGGGGGGGCGCTGAGGCATCCTAGCCTCAGTTCCTGTAACCAGATTACATCTGTGCTGTATCCTGGAGGAGCAATAAGCTCCCTCTGTTCTACTGGCTGGTGGAGTCTGTTCGTGCCACTACAGGGGTGCGTCACCCTGTTGTTGCTGGGAGAGTCCCTACCACTAGCTGTGCCTCTATTTCTCCCCGCCCCTTTTTCTTA